ATAGCGCTATCCGTCGGATAAATCTTATCCAGTGGATAATTATATTAGATAACAGCATCGACAGCAAGGATTTATCCGTTGGATAACGCTTTCCATCATCCTTCGTACAACATGGTCCAGTATTGAAATACTTTGCTGCGTTTCTTTTCTCAGTCCGTATAGAGTGCGCGCGCAGTAAGCGCAACAGACAGTATTTATTCACCAATGACTTTGGGAGGCGATTCCGCAATAGCCCACTTCCGAGGTATGCTTCGCTTGTCATGCACAAAGGTTTTAGTATGAGGCTACGTGCTAAATGCTCAGTCATTCGTGACAGGCGGTAAGAATTAATTTAATTTAGCACGTATCATCATAGTGATACCTTTGTGCGTGACAAGCGAAGCATATCTCGGAGATGGGCTATTGTAAGTTGCGCACGACAAGTTTTATCGTGTTCTCTCCTTAACAACACTCTAAACTTCATGCCGCAGAAAAAAGGTTTAAGGGTGCATTTTTATTGCAACAGACACAAACAACTACAGTGAAGAGTCTGACGAGATCAATATGATGTAAACACTATTTTTGACTATATATAGTTATCCTACCGCAGATACAACACAAAAGATTTTGCCAATAACACAATGATTCTTTTGTCAGCATTTTCATGCCCTTAATTCGCCAACTTTAAATCAGATTTTGCCCAGAATTATTCCTTTCAGGCAAATTCATCATACGAGCGAAGAACATTTTATGCCGACATTCCTTTCCTTGGTGACCCATAACTCGTTTCTGCTTTGGTTAGATCCCTTACTTACTTTTACTGTGATATATCAGAAAGAGAAATCTTGGATTTTATTACTCTTTCGTCATGCGCGTAAAAAGAAAGTAAGGCGATACAAAGGTCGAGTAGCGCACGCGGACGGGAGTCTTTCAACTCTCTCAAGTCTTTCAACGTTACGTCATCGCCGCTATGTTGGTGGTATAGAGGTTTTGTATCATCACGTGCCCACGCCTATAATACAGCTTGGGCTTCCTGTGTTTAGATGGCAGAACAATAAAATTCCTTTACTCTTGGGAATTGAATTCTTTCTCTTGATAAACGATTGTATTGTTCCTGCCATCTAACATGGCTGCCGTCACGTGATGGTGCAAAACCTATATTTAAGAAAAGAGCATTACGCTCGTGTTGTTTATACCACCAACATGGCCGCCACGTCTTTGTCATTTGCTCTCTAGGTATTGCTTGCAAAGATTTACTATAGGCAGATCATTTTTGCGTTGCAGTGATAGTAGGCTGGCACGCGAACCACACGTACCAATGATATATCTACAGTAGAACAACCAATCAAAATGAAGGATACACAACTTAACACTAGCTAACAATTTTTTTTCTATTCTAAAAGTCTATATTCATTTCATTTGGTCTTGGGATACCCTTGTTCTTATTTTCTTTTCTTCATAACTGGTTTAACTTTTCTGGTAGCTCTTGGTGTTGGTGTGGTCGTTATGGCCGTGTTCGCGGTGGTACCTTGGTTTCCAAGGTAACTGGTGTTGTGCTTTGTTGTGTAGTTCTGGTTGTTGCCATCGTGGTTTTGGCTCGAGACACACGTGTACATTTCCCACACACTTGGTTACCACTGGCAGTGAACAAATTGTTCCTGGAATTTTTAAAAATAGCGCCTGTTTGATTAACTTAATGGTGGCGTAGCGGTAGTGCATTCGGCTCTCACTTATGGAGTTTCGGGTTTGATTCCCAGACTCTGCATCACATGTGAGTAGAGTTTGTTAGGTGTCTCCCTTAATTCGAGGGTTTTTCTGCGGGCCCTCCGATAGATTTTCCTTCCTCCGCAAAACCTAACACGCTAAGTTCCAATTCGATCTGTGGGACTTTTATCAGCACAGACTGACTTTGATCAGCACAGAGGCTGTTTCAGGCTATTGATGACATTTGAAGGTTAACTGTCGTCGTTTTTTTTTTTTTTTTACCATGGGATAAAATTACTAGGCGGTTGCTCTGGCAATATATGGTTGCTAAAACGACAGACACATCCGACAAATCTAACGTCATTTCCAAACACTTACCACACATGCGGGTACCTCATGTTACTTTTAGGCATCCTAATATGGGAAGACAGCCGTCCACAGCGATCATATAACAGAATATCGTCTTTCTTGCCATCCAGTGCTTCCCAGTATGTTTTGTTCTGGGGTTCTTGGTAAACAGGAATGGAAACCAGCTTTGTGAGCTTGTTAATGGAACTTGCAGCATTTCTACCGTTGAGGATCATGAACGAGATCCCCTTTATTCCATAGGATCTCTGATATCTTTTGAGGTTCCGCCGCATGCTCTCGAGGGATCGAGCCTGCTGGCGGCAGAAAGATCAGTAGGACACAAGCAAGGCAAGCACCACTACATCTCCTCTGGCTCGTGCGTCAGCCATGGGGTCTACACCATTGACTTTCCATACCGGTGGGAGCTTGCACTGTAAATTTGACGTCGCTTGTGCAGCGAAAGATGATTGGACAAACAACGCCAGTATGGCGAAGGAAAGAACAGAGAGCTTGATCTCCATGGTAATGGTTACCTAGAGACCAACAGCGTTAATAAGAAGGTGTCATGATAAAGTGTATTTGCATTAACATGACAAAAAGCATGAGCGGGAACCCTGTGTTGCATTCCGAGGTGAAGAGGATGGAGAAAGACAAAGTCAAAAGATATCGATCGTTCAAGTAACCAGATATGTTGAACATTTTGGAACCATGCCTATATTTTGTGTTGCGCAGTACATATCTTCATCAAGAAGTATCGAAATAGTTTCCTTAATAAATATGTTTTGCTTGTTAATTTATAACGTTTTACAATGAAACTTAATGATTCAATAGACCCCTTGCGCTGAGTCCCGAGAGGAGTCGTTCTTAGGGACAAAACAATGATTTTTTTGCATAAGAAAAGACGACTTGTTGTTTTGTCCACAAGAACAATTCAACTAGGAATTCAATGTAACGGGTCTATATATCATAGTATGCTTAACGCTCCAATATGATACTTGGAAGAACGAATGCGTTATGTAATTAGAAGGAAATGAAGATGATATAGGACTGCCGTGAATCGTATGCATATATATATATAATATTATGTCCACCTTCATTTAGTGATGAACTTTAAGAAGGTACATTAGTGTTTGAATCGTCAATTTAAGGTCCCTTTGAGAGTATGCGTATGTTTGATTTAAAGACCAATGTAATAGAGTTTGAAGCATTCAAAATTAGGTTAATTGAGTGGAACCACAGTGCACAGGACAACCCAAGATACAGCGCGTCTCGCGCGTTCCGCGACAATATTAAAAAAGTTCCAGTTGCTTGCATCATATGTATAGAACTTAAGAATTATTGTAGCTAAATTCAAATCAAACCTGGATCTCAAGGCTTGGTTTAAATTGCCTGGCTTCTGTTCTCCCCTCTTGAGAACAAGTTCTCTTTGAAAACAACTGCGTCGATTGAAGTTTCAACTGAACTTGACGGAGTCTATTTTCAGTGGGTCTATAATCGTGCGTAGGTCAAGTATAGTATAATAGAATACGTGACGTAACTCAAGTTGTTCACCTGATATGCCTGAAGGTTATACGTATTCTTTTCACTTGCCCTCTCTTTCAGAGGGGAGACTTGATGGTTCCAATTCAGACAATAGCGAACTATACGCTGTTGCAGCAGTTTTCCAACTAGAATTCAAATCTTGTCACACAAACAATTTCACAGTCGCAATATCTGTTGTCAATAGTTGTCAAGGGCACTGCACTACGAAAACTACAAGGCAACTTTTATATCTTATTTTCAAAGTTTTGGTAAACAATTTAGGTAAACTATCTATGCCTTCCCGCAATGAGGGTTTTTAACTTTGAGATATTCTAGCTAAAGATTCGAGCTGGTGGGACATAGCAACGGTAACTAAGGGAGTCGGAACCATGAATTGAGGGGGATAAGGAGAGGATCAGTGGTGTAGGCCCGTGTCGCGTTGGTGTAAGGATTCACTGAGAGTCAGTGTATTGTCTAAAAACAACCAAACAACCCAACAATACTCCAGTTTCGAGTTCTCTTTAGTGTGTGGTGGGGAAGCGTCATCTAAACCCGAACGAAATGAGCTGTAATTAAACCATGGGTCTGTTCAATATATCAACAACACACGGTGGGAGTTTTATTTGATTTGAATTATTTTAAAGCGTAAAAATGAGAATTCAAAAATATCCATATGATACCCATATAATCTTTGTCTGTCTGTCTGTCTCTCGATCGATTCAGTTATTCAACACTAACGGTAAGCCTGGGCTACCTGTGGATAGACCGTTTGAATGGCCCACCCTTCTGCACCGCCAATTACTTGAATGCCTACAAAGCTGTCTCTTCGTAGTGAGTGAGCAGGAGACCTATGACAGATATGAGAGCCAAAAAATTGTAATTTTCGTCTACTTTTGTCTGTTTCACAAAGCTTCAAAACCAGCTCTGAACTTGGGGTTCCTGTGGTAAGCCTGGGACTAGTCTATCATTTCCGCGCAATACTAGGGCCGAGCAAGGAGAAAAACATAAGCGGAGACAAAACAAGAAAAGTTAAGGAAAAAACATAAAATATTGACACAAAATACTGCATAATCATAAGCATCTGAAACCGAAATGAAATTGTTTAAAGTACTATTGGTCTTCCTAATGTCGTTTGTTGTGATAGTTTGTGCATCAGACGAAAAAGAAGATGAAGAAATATTGTCTGGAATTAAAGATGATTGGATTGATCCACACAACATGGTGGACGATACACGGGTAGGATCACAGGGCAGATGGGATAAGAATGGTGTGGGAAACCACGAGTGGTTGGATTTTATGGGTGCCTGTAGAGAAAAGGTGAACTCAATATATTCGTGAAAACGACTTTAGCTCGAGTTTTGGCAATTTTTTTGTCATCAAAAAATCACTAGAAAATAGACCAGTTTTACTTTATAGTATCAAGCTAGTAGACTGACTGACTGTTTTATTAACTGACTGACTGATTGATTGATCATTTGACTTACAGATTAGTTGATTGACTGATTAACTGTCAGAACAACTGACTGATCAACAGATTGATTGATTGAAAGATATTGATTGATTCCTTAGGATTCTGAGACTGCGCTGAGAAGTGCTTTTTCAAATATTCAAGATGAACTTCGAAGCTGCAAGAAGAAGCTAGAAGCTTCATCAAGCTCCTCTTCCAAACAAGCTGAAGACATACCCATTGAGACTGCATCCTGTGATACACCGTACTTCAAACAACTTGTGCGAGTCATACATGAAGCCACTAGTAACTTAAAACCATTCACTGAGATTAATCTGAGTGCAGAACAGCGTGAGATATTTAAAAAGTTTTTGAATGATGAAGCCAACATTCATGACGTGAATACAATTTTGTTAAACAGTATCACTAACAGAACAATGTCAGACTCATTTATAGACAAATCTAAGGTTTTCTTTCAGTCAGTCCTAAATACTGAAGCCCTCATATTTGTGATATTCCTTACAGTATTGGTTATGTTATTCATCATTTTTCAAATCAAAACAAGGTTAACAGCTTTGCAACAGCTCTCTTTCCTCCTGATTATGTTGTTCATTATCAGTATTCCTTGGGAATGGTGCAGGCTGTACAAGAAAGAATTTGCCAAGAAACAGGGTATCATGATGGAAACACTGCAGAAACACTGCAAGACAGACCATGAGTTGGGTCCGATTGAATCTCTAAACTTGTTGTGGAAAAGTTCTTTTTCCACAGATGATAGTTCTTGTGCAAAATACCAAGAAGCCTTGTTAGTGGATGCTGTTTGGGAAGTTGCACCATCCATGGTGAGTATGGATAATTTGATAATGAATGATGGAAGGGAGGGAGAGAGAAAGATATGACCTGATACTAAACATGTTTTCTTTTGAATCTTTTTTTCAGGCTGTTTCAGTTACTATCACTAGGTTTTTTGTTCAGCCTTTAGAGCACATAGCAGATGCAGTCGGCAAAAGCTTCAGAGCCTTGTTCCAACATCTTCCCTTGCAGTGGCAGCCTCTTATGTTTTTGGCATGTTTAGTCATCACTATTCTTTTACTCATCTGTGTAAGGGGTTTTCATGTCAGCTCACCTTTTCTTCGCTTTGGAGTTGGAGGACAACCTGCATTAAACAATGAGCACCTATTAAGGATTGAGCATCAAATGCAGCAGATGGCGGAAAATAAAAATGTACCTGCAATCGAGAATGTCAGAAATGGTGACCAGGCAATAATCCAAGCGATTCTTGATATCACAAGAGCAATGAATGAAAGGTCCCAGCAGCATGATACATTGTTAAGAGAGATCAGAAACAAAGTGCAAGACATAAGACGTCACTGCCGTCAGGAAGAGGCTGTAGAGCATCCAGATTGGGAATTAGTTGAGAACAATCGTGCTCCAATCCCAGTTTCAGATCAGCATGCAACAGAAAATGGACCTGCTGTTTGATTTCTGGCGGAGGTCAAAAATTTTATAAAATTTGTTAAGTTAACAAACTGTACCCTCGACCTAGAAGAGGGGGTTTGGAGTGTCCAAGCAGTGTCCAGCTCAAAGAACACAGTATTCTTAGTACTTTCTCCAAGAAATGCCCTGAAATTACAGACAGTTAGGGAAAAGGAAAGGTATATATGTGGGATGATTCAGATCTTTTCTGGAACTCTTCATCGTAAAGTAATGAAGTCATTACCTGTTACTGCTGAAGACGTTTGTACCATTGTAAATATGTAGTTTGTGCCACAGTGGAGTGCTAAAAGATAGGATAAAGTGTACATAAACATGGTACCAGTGTCATGATGTAGTTTAAAATTTTATCTTTACCCCATGACGATGAGAAATCTGATCATTTTAGTACTGCATGAAAGCACTGGACAGATGGTTGCAGAAAATGTATATATTGGCAAATATGGACAAACTGAAAGGAAAATACATACACCATTGTTTAAATTGTCTATAGTCCGGGCTATAGATCCCTTGCATGTGACGTCATAGCAGCTCAATCTGGGGAACAAAGAATTCCAATCTCCTGAGAATTGGAACCTATTGTTTTGTCCCCCTCCCCCCCTTGACTGAGCTGCATTCCGACGTGCTGCAAGGGGTCTATTACTATCTTGTAGACCTAAATGTATTGTCAGTTGCATAGCAAAATTCGAGGAAGAGAAGTTCTTACTAAAATCACAGAACCCTATCAACAAAAGTCAATGAAAGGAACTTTTAATTATACTGAAAATATAAAAAATATATAAATTTTCTATCAAAATTTTATGTCAAAAGTAAAAAAAACAATAAATTATTGAATGGAGTATTAGGATGGAGTGCAGACCCCTACCCACACACCCTCTGGTAGGGTAACCAACCAGAGAATTAGAGTTACTTTTCAGCTGGATTTCAATCAGCTAAATTAAAGTCTTTGAATCTCATCATGATGTGCTCTAAATGATGGTCACTGAAACACTGATCATTATTTGCTGTTGGTGGGAAAGAATTATATGGTCAGCTGATAATATAAAATTCTCACTTGAGACAGGGAATGATGTCAAGTTAAACCCAACAATTTGATGCATTTCTAGGGAACAGCTACCCCCTTGAAATAGTCCTGGAGCAAATACACAAAAAAAAAGTTCAAAAATTTAGTTCAAATCAGCCTTATGGTTGCATTTCTTCCAAATGCCTGCATTGTTAAAGTAAAGATTGATTTGAAAAAAATGACTTTAAGGCTTTAAGAGATTAACATATAAACATGATGAATAAGTTATATAGATATAAACAAGATGAATAAATAAATTATATAGATATAAATATGATGACAAAATTATTGGAAAGGTATGTGAGCATCACTTTTTGCATTTTGTGGGAATATTCTAATAAATTCTTGAAGAAATCAACTAGAGTAATTTTATTTAACCCGTGAAAAAGTAGTGCTCATAATAGTAGCAGGCTCTAATTCCTTTGTTTTCTTTTGTTTTTTATCAACTAGTCCTATTACACTAAACAGTCATTTTTCTTTTGCGGGTTAAATCACGGTAATGCCTTTTACATGTTGACCACTCCCTTACACCCTTTCCTTCGTGTATTTGTTCATTTTCCTTTTATAAGCTTGCTCGACTCCCCCTCCCTTATATTATATCTACTTGAAAAACAACGAACGTCTCTCAATTTGCACCACCCTACCCCTCCCGGCCCTAATGAGTGTTTGGGCGCTTGAAATTTTGGGCTTCCTGTGTTACTAAAAGATTTCAATGTGGGATCCCTGTGTAATCCTCTAGAAGGAAAAAGATGGCGGGCGGTTTTGAAGTTCCCTCAAACCTCCACGTGAAAGACTAACTGATTGCTAACATCTTTTGAGTATTTGTTAAGCATAATCCACTAAAGCATAAAATATGTCTCAAAACGGACTAAATGGAGAAGTCAATGGACAGAAAAAAGATACAAAATGGTTCACTGAAGGAGTAAGTTTCTTTCTTGTTTTATACTCGTTTTCTTGTTCTTCAAAAGAATGCAAGGAAGTTAACTTTTATTAGGGTATTGAGTCGCTATGTTGTTAAAGATATTTAAAAGAAAACTTCAAGTGTTACAGCAATTTCAATTTTAAGCTGTAGATTAGCACAAAACATATTGTACATCATGATAATGTAAAGGTCACTATGACAATAGCTTTACAGTATGTACAATATTCAAATGTCATCTTTCTTTTATGATCTTGTTGTATTAATGCTTGTAGGAGTTGCTATGGAGAACAGGAGCCAGTGTAGTATGGTTAATTCTCTGTCTCCCTTGTGCTCTGCTGGTCTTTGCTGGAGTTGTTTCTGTGAATATTTTTCATCCTATAACATGGCTATCAGGTAAAGTATGGACAGTACTGCATGCAGTCTCTACCCAATGTCAATCTGTTCAGAGTTTCTGCAAATTTAACTTGCTTTCAGATGTCTTTGGGTTTTCCTTTTATCAATTGCTGGGTTTCATATTACATAATTTCCTGTCTTATGCAGAATGTTCAATGGAATTCTTTCTGGCTGACAGCACATGGTCAGTGTTTGAACACCGTTTGGCGCAGATAATAAGATTTTTATCAGTTGATTGAAACCCAGCAATGAAACAAACTTTTCAGTTGCAGGATATTCTTTGTTTGCATCAATACCTGGGTTCATCGTCATATGTGGGCAAAATTGTTCGTTTATTCTCTAGAGAGATGAGGCGGTAAGCCTCATTTTTTACGCAACTTGAAGTCATGAAAGGTCCTCTTTTTCAGTTGTTTTTATACAAGGCTCATAATTTACCTATTACACATGTGTTTTTCTCTACTGTGCTTTGAATCCTTTTTCTCTGGGTACTCCGTATTTCTCTCTCTTCAAAAATCAACCCCCACAGGGTATAAACAGCCCTGGTATCTGTCCTTCAACCCATCCCACCCCTTACCACTCAACATTCTAAAGTTTGATTTGTTCTTTTGGACAGATATCTTTGGTACATTAATTGCTGCCTATTTTTGGTTTGTTGTAATTTTCTATGGCATCATAACTGGACTTCTTGCAATATCTAACAACAAGTTCAACTCAGGTAGATAAAGATTCTAAAGAAACAGTGAAGCAATAAAAATATTTTATGATAATATTTTTTTATCCTCAAAATAGAGCAATCTGATTGGCTGTGGGAAAGGGCAGTATTTTCTATTTCTGACAACGGTCTAGTATCGATCCTGGATGCTATACCACCCACATTTATGTATGGAATAATGGATTGCATAAAGACAAAACAAATTGCAAAACAAGTGCAAAAGTAAATGGGAAAAGTTATATACTATCCTAAGATTTGTCCAAATAGAGAAAACTGTGCACTCAGCATTGTAAACAGACTGACACAGTCTTTCCCTATCCTGACCTCTTGGCCAGTTAGTAACCTCTATTACTCTATTAGAAATTATCATTTATAGCATATATATATTTTTTACTTTGCAGTTCAAGATGTCATTCACAAAAACAGGATTTCCAGCCTGCTATTCCTGGTTTATCCTCCTCATCTCTTTCACATGTTCCTGTACAGTGTGGGTGGAATGTTCTCAACTTGGTTCTTGTTGAGCATCAATAGTCCACCATTTGATTCTCTGACAACCTTCAAATCTGAGTATGTTTTATTCCTTCGTTCATTTGTTTGTTTTGTTCTTTCGTTCGTTTGTTTGTTTGTTCTTTCGTTCATTTGTTTGTTTGTTTGTTCGTTCGTCCGTTTAATCGTTCATTTATTTTATCAATCCTTCTCTCTATATATAATGAAGTAACCCGTGACTACAGTATAATCTAGTACTTTATTATTGAACAAACTCAACACTGTCAAACAAACATGGCTGCTCTTGAGTCCTGCGCTCCAGAGTCACATGACTCGCACCCAGGTTACTACAATACACCTCTATGAGATTCCCTATTACTTAATTGATACATCTACTTATTTACATATATGTATTTTTTCCCCTGTAAACTTCCAGATCTGAAGAGGAATGTTTCCTTAATGAACATGGAGTATTTGTCCTTACTTTTGGGGGATGGCTGGTAAGATAAAAAAAAAAGTTAAATTTAAATTGTTGTTTGACCCACCCCCCTCCCCCATGACCTGTGTCCTATTGTCTGCTCCAGACACCACTAACCACACCCC